GAAAGAAAATGAAATCATTTTCATAGTTCTGAGCCAAGAGCGCACAAGCATTTGTTTGCATAATGTTATAACAGAACTGCACCACCATCCAAACAGAACAAGGGTACAGTAAGATATGAAATATAACCTGCATGACACGTTCATCTTGTCGTAAATCTTCATGCCCCTTCAGCAAGAAGGTATACTCTTTTCCATCACTCCCAAGAATTGTCAACTTACGAGGTCGTTGTTTCGATGTGATGACAGAAAGCTGGGGGGCAAATGATGCAATTTTTACCTCTGGTGAATCTGAGGAAACAAATATATCTGTCATCAGTGATGTTCAGAAGTGAATTATCCTTAAATATTTCCAATCACTACTGCGACTATACCTGCTATATAGCTTCCAGGAACGGCTAGCTCCAAATCCCGGCACTCCAGAAGTTCTGGGGAAACAGACTGTTTTTTACAGAAATATATAATTAATATCTCAAATCTCAATATTAACATGTACCAATAACTACAGAACTTTTTTCTTACCTGCAAATCCAGGGTGGTGAGAGTTTGAAGCTGCTTATCAATCCGCCTGAATACGTGGTAATAGAGATCCCAAGCCTGGTGAGAAAATTATGTCAATTCATTGGAAGGAGTGGAGCTGTGCTCTGCGAGCCAAAACCACTGAATGCAATATAAAAATATGCGTACAAAATACATTTCTTTACAGACAGTTGAATACCCTAAGAAGATGAAAACTCCCAATGCTAAGTCCATGCAAGTTCTAATGTTGTAGATAATTAATTTAATGAAATCTTTCCTAGAATATATTATGTTGAAGCAAAAACCATCATCTCTAATGAGCAAAATTGATCATAATGAACTATTCTGAATGAAGCAGAAAATAGATATAAATGATCACTAAAACAACGAGCATATGATGAGCAACTGAATTTTTTATATCACGGGCATGACAGCCGTCTAAGAAAAAGTAGGTCATAAAACTTCTATCTTCATAGCAATACTGTCCATCTGGACACTTCTGTCTAAAAGATTTATCCAATTCAATGAAAACACAATTTTTACCTCATGTTCAACTAAATGAAAAATAATTGTGAACAAATAAAAGAGAAAAAAATCCCCTACCCTTACTCCCCCCTCCCCCCAACAACCCCTCCTTATTGATGCTTGCCCCCAGATTTGGTTAGGTTATCCAAAGCTCAATTTTATGTTTCCATCAACTCCTGTAGGTGGACAAGAAAAAACCAATTCCTAAAGGTGGACGTTTGTCTTTCTTTGAATATGTCCATCCCCTTTTTCTATTGGTCTTTACAATTATCACTACAAGCCAATGTGAAGACAATCAAATATTGTTAGGTATATTATTGATTATGGCAGTCAAAAGTGTTGATGCAAGATACTATTAGACATTGTAGCCTGCTACATTTTGGAATGTCCAAACAGCAAATGCAATGAAGCTAATGTGAAGATCTTGTTGAGGGTTCTGAGAATAACAAGGATTAGCAAAGAGCAATTATGTCGTTGTTAAGAAAAAAAATAAAGAAATTAGCTTTATCAGCAATCAGAGGTTTTCTCACACTTAATTGATGACTTCTAGCCCCCAATTTTTCTGTAATTCTTTCTTCTTACTAATCAAGCTCATCTTAAAAACCAAAAAGTCTCGAGACACTTGCAATCTAGCGAAACAAGTGAAAGTGCATATCAGAATTTCTTCACGCAAATACCTAATTAATTTCTGCATCTTTTCCAGTTCTTCGATATTTCATGCAGCATTCATAGGCCTCCAATAATTCATGGCGGTAAGCCTGAAGCACATGAAGGTTCTTAATAGATATTGTAACATAAGCGACATGTATCAAATGGAGGTTATGAAGAATATTTCTCAGATTAATCCATAGAAATCAAGTCATATTTCTCAATTGATGTGTACAAATTCCTATAAAGCAATTGACATTCATGAGAACATAGTAGCCACCGTTAAATATTGTCCTCTACACTTTGCTTATAACAGATGATGTATGTCCGAGAATGTGGAAACGATGGACAACCTGTATGAAGGCTTTCTCTTTTATGGTAGTATTGTTCCTCATAGCTCCTTCCTCGAGCTTTTCATGCAATGGCTCCAATACCTTAAGCATTCCCTCAATGTTATGTTCCCCGAAGTATTAGCGGCTCGCCTCTTCCAATGCTTCGTGCCACATCTCATGCCAAAGAATTGCAACTCTTATCAACTCCTTAGACACAAGTTGAGCCTTCAAAATGAAAGCCAAACAGTCAGCTATTGCACAAATGAAACAAAAAAAGAGTCACCATTGTAAGTCCTTTTCACCTGAACCACCAGTACACCACTATGCCTTTTAACTTTATCAACCACTTCCTGAGCTGCAGCTCTGCGTAAATTGCTAATAGATTTGCATGCCACAAGGAGAGGGTACATAAGAGCCTGAACAGGAAATTAAATTATTTTAGTCATACAATTGACGAAAAGTACCTTGCAAGCTCAAAGCAAGTTATACAAACGGAAGATTAATTAAGGCTTCATTCTGCATGATCTTCAAGGTTTACTCCAAAACTCTCTAATTACAGAAAAAAGCTCGATGATCTCTAACAATTATATAACTCTCTCAGATCAAGAGACTGAATGCATTAAAGTAAAACATTTGCCATCGTACAATCAGACATAACCATAGCTTTACCATTCTCTCATAAGTTCTTTGATAGTGAACTATTAGCCTTTGCCAAGAAAATCACGTTATATTCTCCATTGCGAGAATGTATTCGGGAAAATTATGTCTCCAACTCTAAAAGTAAAATTGACGGCTACCGTATAACCAAGTATGAAGGAAATCTAATATTGGATCTCTTCTCCATGGAGATTTCAAAAATGTAAAGATTCGATCATCACGGACGAATTTAATTTATATAATCAAGATTGTTGAAAAATGGTGAAGTTGTCCATTCAATTCCAATTTCAATTCAACTGTGATTATTATTCCTTCAAAGCTCTGCGTTTTTTTTTTTTAGTGGAAGGAGGGCGGTACCTCCGAGATTTTATTAATATGTCCTCACTTGTGGCGGAGGAATACCGTGGTTACAACTGAAGTAAAGCAAAGCAATAAATGAGGAAGTACTACTTCCCTTACAGTTAAAGTAA